ACACACACACACACACACACACACACACACACACACACACACTAGCTGACTTACAAAACAGACCACTTTATTTATTTAACAGACTCTTTATTCAAGAGTCTGTCAGCAAAAGCAGCTTTGAAAAGGCCTCTACACATTCCTCCAAGTCAAACACATTATCAGAACGTCCTATTTTTTGCAAACTTATAAGTTTAGGCTGCTTAGGAACATGTGACAAACGTAACCTGCAGGAATAATGTCTGGAACTCAAAACCAGAGGATAAGAGCAATCATTCTACAGAAGGCATTAGTGATGAATCAAACCTGTTTGTCGCTCAGCATCCTTTATTTCGCTTGCTTCTCGATCACTGGTGTCTTCCCCCTCTTCTTTAATAAACTCCATGCTTATAATATTAAGTCAAGTAGCTCTCTCAGCTGTTTCACTTGGAGATTGCTCATGTTTAATATGGAAAAATGACCTGAAATAAATAAATGCAGAATAAATCTCTCTTACTCATGTCACAGAACCCCATTACAGCATGCAGTACTTACTGTTGTGCTGCAGTACATCTGCAAACACTTTAAATCCACCTGAGCGCTCTAACACTGATGGGTTCAAAACAACAACAAACTACTCTGGCGCAGCATTATGACGCATCACACAACACACATCAAAATAAAAGTCTTGTTCATATGTTACGGGATACTACTACTACTACCACTACTACTACTACTACTACTAATAATAATAATGCAATTAACAAATTATTAATTTCAATACCACAAAAACTAATTTTAATCATACTTACATAAACAGTGTAAATATCTAACGTTAAGCTGAGTAGTATTTTCACATTGTTGTACGACATGTGTATTTTAATTTTAATTTCACCAGATAAAATCACCCCGTGTCCGTATATTTCATCCTCAATATAATATGGAAACCTCGATCGAACAGGACTTTTATTTTGATGCATGTTTATACGTCATAACTCCGCGCCGGCGTGTGCAGGGGTTCGGCTGAGAGGTTTGTGGACTTGAACCCATCAGTATTTAAGGCGTTTAAACTGATTTAGAGCACTTTTCTTTTTTTTAGAAACGTATTGCAAATTAAGGTAGAGTGTTAAATGTAATGGAGCTGCATTAGTGATGTGTAAGTCGAGTTGCAGAAAGACTATTTTTTTTAATTACTTATTTTATTTATTATTTAATTTTCAGTTCTTTATTCTCAAAACTCAAGGTGGAACAACTGAGATCAGTGTGACATAATATTGCAAACATGGAGTTTATTAAAGAAGAGAATGAAGAAATGGTGATTCCAGATCCGTGCAGAGTGAAAGAAGAAGACACTGAGGAGAAAATAGGTTGGTTTCTGTTCCATTACACAGTTTTTACTCTATTAATAATATTTTTGAAAATGTTTACAGTCATATAAACTGACATTAGATTAGTTATAAAGTTCAGTTTTCATGAACCATAATTTTTCTGGTCTTCATTTAAACTTATTAAATTATTAAAATTGCTGAATTTGTTGTATTACTGACGTTGCATGCATTTAAACTGTCCAGAAAACATTCACAGAGTGAAGATATTCCATAAATTGCATCTCAATTCAGTGCATTGTTTTTGCAAACTGCTCCTGTTCTTATTTCGGTGATGCATTACAATTGAACTAAACCAGTCGACTAAAATCCTATGATATTTAGTATACTAAAACAATTCAGGTTACTAAAATATGACTCAAACTAGGTGGCATTTTAATCAAGGCCATAACTAATCTAAATCAAAACCTAGCTTCATAAGTAAAACTTATTACGTAAACGCATAAACAATCGTGAATGTTAAAATAAGAAGCAATTACGAGCAATAAGACAAATAAAAAAGAACGGAACAAAGACACGTGAAATTGTGTTTTAGGTTTTTTCAGATATGTCTAACATTAGAGCTGCACGATAAATCGAAATGGAATCGAGATCGCGATTCGACAGATGCTGATCGTCATGCGTATCTTTCAGTGAAGCACGGTTCTGTGATCAGCAGTAAATCTCCGTCTGAAGGCCAGAGAAACTCCAAATACGCCTCGCAGAAGAAACCCAGAAAATGGCTAGCGCTGCAGCTGAATAAACAGAAGATTTAACCGCTTTCATTGATTCAGCGTGACTGCAAATACGCCTCGCAGAAGAAACCCAGAAAATGGCTAGCGCTGCAGCTGAATGAACAGAAGATTTAACCGCTTTCATTGATTCAGCGTGACTGATAAACACACGACTACGCCAATATACGGTTTATCTGAGTTCTTATTATTATAATTTTCATTAGAATAAAGTATATTATAATGCAATGCCTTTATCACTGCTTAAATACTATAAAATATGTTGCGTGTATTCTGTGTAAGAAGCCTCGTGATCTCACAGAAGGGTTTATTTCAAACACTCGAACATGTTATTAAATGTGGTATTTTCACATGCTTTCAGATGGAGCAGCATTTATTACACAGAGCCGTAGTTCACTGAGAAGCTACGCAAACAGCTGTCATTATCGCAAATGATTTCTTCGATTTCAGAATCGCGCAATAAAGTCGAAAATGTTTTTTTTTTTTGCGCGTAACTGTCAGTGAACTACGGCTATGTGTAGTAAATGCTGCTCCATCTGAAAGCACATGATGCTGATTACAGAACCGGCTTTTTTAACAAAATGCACATGACAATCGCATTCGATTAATCGTGCAGCCCTAGCTAACATAGTATTCAAGTAATAAATACTACAGTCGTTGAAATATTTCATCCTCAATATAATATGGAAACCTCGATCGAACAGGACTTTTATTTTGATGCATGTTTATACGTCATAACTCCGCGCCGGCGTGTGCAGGGGTTCGGCTGAGAGGTTTGTGGACTTGAACCCATCAGTATTTAAGGCGTTTAAACTGATTTAGAGCACTTTTCTTTTTTTTAGAAACGTATTGCAAATTAAGGTAGAGTGTTAAATGTAATGGAGCTGCATTAGTGATGTGTAAGTCGAGTTGCAGAAAGACTATTTTTTTTAATTACTTATTTTATTTATTATTTAATTTTCAGTTCTTTATTCTCAAAACTCAAGGTGGAACAACTGAGATCAGTGTGACATAATATTGCAAACATGGAGTTTATTAAAGAAGAGAATGAAGAAATGGTGATTCCAGATCCGTGCAGAGTGAAAGAAGAAGACACTGAGGAGAAAATAGGTTGGTTTCTGTTCCATTACACAGTTTTTACTCTATTAATAATATTTTTGAAAATGTTTACAGTCATATAAACTGACATTAGATTAGTTATAAAGTTCAGTTTTCATGAACCATAATTTTTCTGGTCTTCATTTAAACTTATTAAATTATTAAAATTGCTGAATTTGTTGTATTACTGACGTTGCATGCATTTAAACTGTCCAGAAAACATTCACAGAGTGAAGATATTCCATAAATTGCATCTCAATTCAGTGCATTGTTTTTGCAAACTGCTCCTGTTCTTGATGCATTGATGCATTACAATTGAACTAAACCAGTCGACTAAAATCCTATGATATTTAGTATACTAAAACAATTCAGGATATGACTCAATGACTCAAACTAGGTGGCATTTTAATCAAGGCCATAACTAATCTAAATCAAAACCTAGCTTCATAAGTAAAACTTATTACGTAAACGCATAAACAATCGTGAATGTTAAAATAAGAAGCAATTACGAGCAATAAGACAAATAAAAAATAACGGAACAAAGACACGTGAAATTGTGTTTTAGGTTTTTTCAGATATGTCTAACATTAGAGCTGCACGATAAATCGAAATGGAATCGAGATCGCGATTCGACAGATGCTGATCGTCATGCGTATCTTTCAGTGAAGCACGGTTCTGTGATCAGCAGTAAATCTCCGTCTGAAGGCCAGAGAAACTCCAAATACGCCTCGCAGAAGAAACCCAGAAAATGGCTAGCGCTGCAGCTGAATGAACAGAAGATTTAACCGCTTTCATTGATTCAGCGTGACTGATAAACACACGACTACGCCAATATACGGTTTATCTGAGTTCTTATTATTATAATTTTCATTAGAATAAAGTATATTATAATGCAATGCCTTTATCACTGCTTAAATACTATAAAATATGTTGCGTGTATTCTGTGTAAGAAGCCTCATCATCTCACAGAAGGGTTTATTTCAAACACTCGACTGACGTTATGAGTTTGGAGTAAAAATACGTCATTAAATGTGGTGTTTTCACAAGCTTTCAGATGGTGCAGCGTTTACTACACAGAGCCGTAGTTCACTGAGAAGCTATGCAAACAGCTGTTATTATACGCAATAAACTCGTCTTTGTTTTTTTTTTGCGTAGCTTGTCAGTGAACTACGGCTATGTGTAGTAAATGCTGCTCCATCTGAAAGCACATGATGCTGATTACAGAACCGGCTTTTTTAACAAAATGCACATGACAATCGCATTCGATTAATCGTGCAGCCCTAGCTAACATAGTATTCAAGTAATAAATACTACAGTCGTTGAATAAAAAAATACTCTTCACCATATGATGCTACAAAAGCTAATCAGGCTCTTTGGGTGTCTCCTGTTTTGGCCAAAGCTCACTGAATCAAGCTGCTCTCACTGTGAGAGCATGAGTCTCAGCTCGTTAGGAGAGAGAGCCATGAACTGAATCAAGTCTGCTGTGTTCACATTACAGTTACCCCCGGTTTCACAGACAAGGCTTAAGCGTAGTCCCAGACTAAAATGTAAGTCCGAGCTGTTTCAACTGAAAGAAACTTGCACTGATTGATCTTAAAACATATGAGTGCCTTTGTTTTGTCTCAAGATGCACACCAGTAATGCACGTTTATAAAAATTACTTGCATGTTCTAATTGAACTATGGCCTAATCCTGGCTTAGTCTAAGCTCTGTCTGTGAAACCGGGCCTTAGTCATTTAGCGGACGCTTTTATCCAAAGCGACTTACAAACGAGGACAATAGAAGCAATCAAAATCAGCAAAAGTGCAATGCTATAACAAGTCTCAGAACATGCCTAACGCAGCACACGTAGCAAGTTTTTAAAAATTATATAATAAATAAAAGGAAAACCGATAGAATAGAGCAAGCTAGTGTTAGAGGCCTTTTTTTGCTTTTTGTTAATTGTATAATAAAAGAAAATAAATAGATAGAATGCAAAAAGAATAGAAAAGCTAGTGTTATTTTTTTTTTATGAAAACAAACAGTATAGAGTGCAATTTTGTTAAAATAAAGAATAGAATTAGAAAAGAGAGTGCTAGAGTTAGAGGGTCAAATAAAGATGGAAGAGATGTGTTTTCAGCCGAATTTTTAGTTCACGCCATGACGAAATTACCGTAATTCAGAGATGACGACACGCGACATTTAACTCGTCGCTTTCCATGTCCTCGGACTCAGCGTTAGTGCCTAAATGAATCTGGTACAACTGTCACATGGTCCAAGTCGTAGCTCTCAGAATAGAAAGTTGTAATAAGTTGAATTGAGTTCTTGTATGTAATTACACTTGCTTAATTGATTAATACTCGCTTTCTTTTTATAAAAAAAAAATAGAGCCTCTAACCATGACGAAATTACCGTAATTCAGAGATGACGACACGCGACATTTAACTCGTCGCTTTCCATGTCCTCGGACTCGGCGTTAGTGCCTAAATGAATCTGGTACAACTGTCACATGGTCCAAGTCGTAGCTCTCAGAATAGAAAGTTGTAATAAGTTGAATTGAGTTCTTGTATGTAATTACACTTGCTTGATTGATTAATACTCGCTTTCTTTTTATAAAAAAAAAATAGAGCCTCTAACACAATGCTGGGTTGTTTCAACCCAACTTTGGGTCAAATATGGACTAACTCAACTTTCGGGTTAAAAATTTAATTCAAAAATGTAACCTAATGGGTTAAAGGTTGGGTTAGTCCATATTTGACCCAAAGTTGGGTTGAAACAACCCAGCATTTTTTAGAGTGCAGTTTTTTCAATTACTTTTCTATTCCATGTACTTGTTTTCTTTTTATTGAAAAAAATGATCCTCTAACAATAACGTTCTCAATTTCTATCTACTTATTTTCTTTTTATTTATTTTATATATTTTTTTAAAACTACGTGTGCTGCGTTAGGCTAACCGAGACTTGTTATAGCACTTGCGTATCATTGCTCTTTTGTTGGTTTTGATTGCTTCTGTTATCCTCATTCCGTTGTAAGTCGCTTTGGATAAAAAGCACCTGAAGCACCTGAAGACTTTGGAGTTGATACTGTTGCTATAGAAACACATAATTCAGCTCCAAGTAGAATGTCACATGTTGTCATCTCGGAATATTATATATACAGTAATTACGGCATGGTATTTAATGGCTGTTGCTTTGTGGCATGATCCCCAGTTTTTTGTGTCCCAAATTGATCATTTAATATGTTAATTTTAGACCTGGTGCCGCTGAAAGAGGAAAGTCAAGAAATGAATGAAGTGGAGGAGAAACATCATGATTTCACCAGTGGAGGAAAATCCTTTAGAAGCACGGAGACAGAAAATAATTCCTCCAAAAAACAAAAAAGAACTCTGAAAACAAGATCTAAAAGTAGTTTCACTTGCTCTCAGTGTGGAAAGTGTTTCTTGCGTAAAGGACACCTTCATAGCCACATGAGAATTCATAGTGGCGAGAGCCCTTTCACATGCCAGCAGTGCGGAAAGAGTTTTAAACAAAAAGGAAACCTTAAAAGCCACATGCGAATTCACACCGGCGAGAGCCCTTTCACATGCCAACAGTGCGGAAAAAGTTTCACTCAGAAAGGAAACCTTAAAAGCCACATGAGAACTCACACCGGCGAGAGCCCTTTCACATGCCAGCAGTGCGGAAAGAGTTTTAAACAAAAAGGAAACCTTAAAAGCCACATGCGAATTCACACCGGCGAGAGCCCTTTCACATGCCAACAGTGCGGAAAAAGTTTCACTCAGAAAGGAAACCTTAAAAGCCACATGAGAACTCACACCGGCGAGAGCCCTTTCATCTGCAAAAATTGTGGAAAGAGCTTCTCACTGAAAGGAAACCTTAATCAACACATGAAAATCCATTCTGGAGAGAAGCCTTTCGCATGCCCTCAGTGTGGAAAAGGTTTCTCGCAGAAACAGTCCCTTAATTGCCACATAAGAATTCACTCTAGAGATAACCGTTTTATATGCCATAAGTGTGGGATGAGTTTCACAGACATGGAACACCTTAACAGACACGTAATAACTCACACCGGAGAAAAGCCTTTCAAATGCCAGCAGTGTGGAAGCAGGTTCAGATTAAATAAAAACCTTAAGAGTCACATGCGAGTCCACACCGGAGAAAAGCCTTACAAGTGCAATCACTGCGGAAAGAGTTACGCTCAAAAAGGAAACCTTAATGTTCACGTCCGACTTCACACTGGAGAGCGGCCGTTCGTTTGCCCTCAGTGTGGAAAGGGTTTCACACATAAAGGAAATCTTAAGAGTCACATAAGATTTCACACTCGGGAGACGCCTTACACGTGTCTTCAGTGTGGAAAGAGTTTCGCTTATCAGAGAGACCTGAAAATTCATTTGCATATTCATTCTGAGTTCGTTCTGCAGTGTTCGGAGTGTGGCAAGAGGTTTGCAGACAAGATCAACTTCGTAAATCATCTGCGCATTCACCCCGCAGAAAGGCTGTTTAACTGCGATCACTGCAATAAAAAGTTTCTTTTTCAGTCCCACTTAGAGATACACATGAGAAGCCACACTGGCGAGAGAACTTATTTGTGTTCTTTGTGCGGAAAGGATTTTAAATGGCTTGGCAATTTGAAATCACACCAGAAAATGCATGCTGGTGTGAATGCTTGTGCCAGAGCGAGCCACTTGAAACAGCAGCAACAAACCCATACCGGAGAAAAAACAGTCAAGGATTCCAATATTGCAAAGCCTTTGACTACTTCAGAAACGTCAAAAACAGAAGGGGTGCATCCTGGAGAGAAGCTATACAGCTGCGCTTCATGTGGGATGAACTTCAGCACAACAATTTATCTGCTGGCTCATAAGAAAAGGCACTGTCTGAAGTAGCCATAAAGAGCAAAGCTCATCTTCAGGTGGACGGACAAATTAAGACGCACCGAAAGATGAAATTTCTCCCAAAAGTCATTTGATGCAAGTTCTACGGCGGAAGAGGTCAAAATATGTTTAATAAATGTTTTCTTACTGTGCAGTACCACAATGTTTGAAGGGATGTTTTCTATTCATTTTGGATTGTAGATTAGCATTTGTACGAAATTAATTAGGCAAGGTTAATTAGGTAGCACATCTCATACACAATAGTAATAGCATGAGAAAGAATATAAACATGTCAAAATAAATAAAAAGTTGTATTTAAAATGGAATTAGGTGAATGAATGGAAATACTCATTTAATTTATGATTAGTTCTGTCGTGACAAGATACATCACAATGTCAGTGTGTTTGGTTTTGATGGAATAGATCTGCTCTGCTGCTGCAGCAGAGCAAGTACAGAGACTTACTACAGTCAATACTTCCACACATGCTGCTGTGAGCATGTAAGAAATACTGCTGCTGCACATATAACATATATGAAATAACCCCTGTATACGGTATATCACCCTGTAGCAGATCTATACAGGTGGAGCTGGGGAAGGTGGAGGGTTTAGCAAGCACTAGCCGAGTATTTGAATGCTGAGCAGCAAGCTCATTGGCTGTTGATGAGGAAAGAAACCAATCAGCTGCGCCGTGTGAATAATGATGTGATTGTGTTAGATTAGAGTTATCGGCCTGCGCCTTCTAGAGTTTCATGGTAGAACTTTGGATTTATTTATATCTTCTTATATATTTTGTTTTGAGTTTCATGGTAGAACTTTGGATTTATTTATATCTTATATATTTTGTTTTGTTTGTATAAGTTGAGAATAATAAAAATAACAAATTCTTGTCGGTTTAATAGAGATCATCAGTCTGTTCCTTGAGTAAAAATTCCATTAATTTGATTTGAGGAAAATTTATTTTAAACAATAACTAATACACCTCTAAAGACAGACCTGTTGTGAGCTCTGAGTTTGTTAATAGATCGTATGCTTTTATTGAACCCTTTTGTTGGTGTTTATTTAACTTATTTTTAAAGTAATTGTTTAATAGCAGAATTTGAGGTGAAAAACTACAATTGTAATTTGTGAACAGTGTCATTGTCTGAGTCTGTCAGACAGTAATAATCATTTGTCCTGTAGAGTCTTGTATTAAATGGTTTCTGGAGGCACTTGTGCTGCTAGAGGAAAGAAATGATGCAATAAAATGGGAATCAGAATGAGCAGGTCATCAGCCTTCGAGTACAAATGCATTGCCTTCAGATGATATCATGATTATTAAGGATTATTATGATTACATCATAGTGACCTCTTTATTGTTAATGAAAGGAAAATGTTATCTGATATTAACCCGCTCTAATTAGAGGTTGATTTTAAATGACTTGGTCCAGAGCCGTGAGCACAACCCAACATGCCTGGACTCCGAGAAAGACATTATTTCAGCAAGAAAACATTCATTATATTAGGTTGATAACATCCATTCATCTTTTACATTTTTTTAGACACAAATTTTCTGTTAAATCTTCACGCAAAAAGAAGTGTATCGTGGTAAGAAGCTACAGTATGCCAAAATACTACAGTCATATGGTTAAAAATAAACACTTAAAAAAAAAAAAACACTTCTTAAATCTTAAATGCTATTTTTTTTAAAGTGTATTATTATAGTTAAAGTTTAACTATAGTATTTAATGTTTAAAATTAAAGAAATGTTTAAAATTAAATATGAAACCACATTATGTGTGGACCATTTACCATATTTAACACAGCTGATGAGTAATTAAAATAATTAAATAATCAGAATTAATGAGCTCAACATTCGTTCATCTGGTTGATACTTTTTTATAACAAAAAATATTTTTTAATAACTTATTATTATGACTTTTTTATTACTTGCCTGTTGAACTAATGTCATTAATCTGATTTTTTTATTTATATATATATATATATATATATATATATATATATATATATATATATATATATATATACACTCACATGCACATCTTTAAAAAAAGGGTTTCAGATCCAGGTTTGGTAATGGAATGAGGAAAAGGGAAAAGTGAAGAGGAAAAGAGCTGCATTACAGATGTTCTGCTTCCAAGCAAAGCAACAATGCGAGACAAACAGGAAATGATGACGGGGCCACACCGGCCTGTGGCAGCACTCACCCTGCAGGGGTCAAATCTCCCACTGGAGCCATTTACACAATACTGACTGTGAAGATCTTATTGACTTTCAAACTGTAGTCTGACAAGCTGCTCATAATATAAATTGCACTCAAGTTATTCTTAAACAAAACACTGCAACCTACAAATGACCGCACTCAAGCTATTTAAGGGGACAATATATACACTGAACAAAATTATAAACGCAACACTTTTGTTTTTGCCCCCATTTTTCATTAGCTGAACTCAAAGATCTAAGACTTTTTCTATGTACACAAAAGGCCTATTTCTCTCAAATATTGTTCACAAATCTGTCTAAATCTGTGTTAGTGAGCACTTCTCCTTTGCCGAGATAATCCATCCACCTCACAGGTGTGGCATATCAAGATGCTGATTAGACAGCATGATTATTGCACAGGTGTGCCTTAGGCTGGCCACAATAAAAGGCCACTCTAAAATGTGCAGTTTTACTGTATTGGGGGGTCCGGGGGGGTCCGAAAACCAGTCAGTATCTGGTGTGACCACCATTTGCCTCACGCAGTGCAACACATCTCCTTCTTATAGAGTTGATCAGGTTGTTGATTGTGGCCTGTGGGATGTTGGTCCACTCCTCTTCAATGGCTGTGCGTTTATAATTTTGTTCAGTTTATATATTTATATATATATAAAATGAAATAAATGGAAAGAATGCAGATTGCACAGTACTCATTTAATTTATGATTAGTTCTGTCGTGACAAGATACATCACAATGTCAGTGTGTTTGGTTTTGATGGAATAGATCTGCTCTGCTGCTGCAGCAGAGCAAGTACAGAGACTTACTACAGTCAATACTTCCACACATGCTGCTGTGAGCATGTAAGAAATACTGCTGCTGCACATATAACATATATGAAATAACCCCTGTATACGGTATATCACCCTGTAGCAGATCTATACAGGTGGAGCTGGGGAAGGTGGAGGGTTTAGCAAGCACTAGCCGAGTATTTGAATGCTGAGCAGCAAGCTCATTGGCTGTTGATGAGGAAAGAAACCAATCAGCTGCGCCGTGTGAATAATGATGTGATTGTGTTAGATTAGAGTTATCGGCCTGCGCCTTCTAGAGTTTCATGGTAGAACTTTGGATTTATTTATATCTTATATATTTTGTTTTGTTTGTATAAGTTGAGAATAATAAAAATAACAAATTCTTGTCGGTTTAATAGAGATCATCAGTCTGTTCCTTGAGTAAAAATTCCATTAATTTGATTTGAGGAAAATTTATTTTAAACAATAACTAATACACCTCTAAAGACAGACCTGTTGTGAGCTCTGAGTTTGTTAATAGATCGTATGCTTTTATTGAACCCTTTTGTTGGTGTTTATTTAACTTATTTTTAAAGTAATTGTTTAATAGCAGAATTTGAGGTGAAAAACTACATTACCCATACTGCTGCAAAGCAAATTCGACCAATCAGAGAGTTGCAGCAAACAAAGTGCACCAAATAATATCTTATGCTCCACCCACTCTTATGAAGCGCAGCAAATGTAATCAAGTTACACTCTCAAAATACTTACATATTTGTATATATTTGCGTATTTTGCAATAAACCTATTGCAAATATGTTGGTTTTTAAACATACAACTAACAACTTTAAATTAAGAGTTTTATATTTCTCTGTCATTTTTAATTTGATTGTCATTTGCAATGCTTCATGGGATTGTAGTTGTTTCCCTCACTAAAGCTGTTAAGTTCACAGCCTTGTACGTTTGCAAAAGACATACAAAAGTTTGGGCACCCCTGATCAACACTGATAGATTGATTACCTGTTTTCCAAAAGTCATTTTTATATATATATATATATATATATCAGGGGTGTTTCCTAAAGGGAGGCAGTGTCTTCTCAAAAATTGGATTAGAAAATAATTCGTAGTACAAAAATAAAACAACACCAGTGTTACAAAATATAACATTAAAAAGTGTATAAATCACATGTTTTTTAAGAAACACTGTCCAACAGCGACACCAGCAGGACATTTATATATATATATATATATATATATATATATATATATATATATATATCAGGGGTGTTTCCTAAAGGGAGGCAGTGTCTTCTCAAAAATTGGATTAGAAAATAATTCGTAGTACAAAAATAAAACAACACCAGTGTTACAAAATATAACATTAAAAAGTGTATAAATCACATGTTTTTTAAGAAACACTGTCCAACAGCGACACCAGCAGGTAAAGTTACAGCGGGAGTCCGCGTCTCTCTCGTCTCCCCTGAGCCCATTGAGTTTAAACAGACCCCTAAAGCATGCTTTGAGTTTGGTGGGGGGTAATGGAGAATGAATGGGGAAAAGTCACATCAGAGAAGGCAATGCCTCCATCGTGATATGATTGGATATGACTGGTTGTGTTAAATAAATCTCGCCTCTTGTGTTCTTTGTGAATCAGTGAATGGACAATATAATGGTGTTAATGGGAAGACTAATTTAAAAAAGTAAGTGAACAAGTCACACACTTAGATATAACCACATTGGTACATTAAAATAAGACTTAAAATGGCCTTAAAATTAAGCTTTAATTCACGGTATAGAACAAAAATATAACATAAAATGCTTAGGAATTACAACCATTTTTATGCAGTCGAAATCATATTTTGTTGAGAATCCTTTGCAGGCAATGACTGCCTTAAGTCTGGAACTCAAGGACATCAGCAGAGACTGGGTTTCTTTTGTGATGCTTCACCAGGCCTTTACTGCAGCTGACTTCAGTTGTTGTGTGTTTTGGGGGTTTTCTGCCTTTAGTTTTGTCTTCAGCGAGTGAAATGCAGCTCAGCCGGGTTGAGATCAGGAGATTGACTCGGCCATTGCAGAATATTCCACTTTTTAAAACTCCCGGGTTGCTTTTGCTGTATGTTTTGGGTCATCGTCCATTTGTACTATGAAGCGCTGCTCAATCAGCTTTGCTGCATTCGGCTGAATCTGGGCAGAGTATGTCTCTGTACACTTCACACTCTAAAAAATGCTGGGTTGTTTCAACCCAACTTTGGGTCAAAAATGTAATGTAAAAAAAATGGGTTAGCCCATATTTGACCTAAAGTTGGGTTGAAACAACCCAGCATTTTTTAGAGTGCAGAGTTCATCCGGCTGCTTCTGTCTCATCATCACTAAACACCAGTAACTCAGTGCCACTGAAGCCATGCACGCTCATGCATCACACTGCTCCGTGTTTCACGGATGATGCTGTGTGCTTTGATCATGAGCTGCTCCAAGCCTTCTCCAGACTCTTTTCTTCCCGTCGTTCTGGTACAGCTTGATCGTAATTTCAGCCGTCCAAAGAATGATTTTGCAGAAGTCTTTTTTTTTTACTGAAGTCTTGTGGAATACATTAAGACTGATTTTTCATATAGGCTTTATGGACAGATAAGTTGAGAGTGACTCTTGAAGGACCAGCACCACATCCTCTTGGGCTCTTGTACCACTGTCTGAAGAATTTATCTTCCAGAATCTGGCAGTAAGTTGTAGGAGCTCATTTTTAGTCAATCCTGCAAGACAGACTTAACAAAGAGTGAAAAATTTAAGGGGGTCTGAATACTTTCCGTACCCACTGTATATACTGAGGAATTGAGTCATATGATTGACCTAATTAAAGTTGATCGATGAGCTCAGTTTTTCTTATTGTGACATTTCAATATATTTATTTTAGACCTGATGCTGCAGAAAGAGGAAAGCAATGAAGCGGAGGAGAAACATCATGGTTTCACAAGTGGAGAAAACTTCTTTCATTGCACCGAAAATAATCTCTCAGTAAAAAGAATAAAGAAAACAAGCTCTAAAAGTTCTTTCACTTGCCATGAATGTGGAAAGAGTTAAATAAAAAAAATAGGATGCACCAAAATGTAGAATTATCCCCCCCCCCAAAAAAGTCAAAATATTAGCTCAATAAACTTGTGTGACTTTGCAATACCCCAATGTTTGAAGGGATGTATTTTGTTCATGTTGAATTATGGACTAGCGTTAGTATGAAATTAATTAGGCATGGTTAATTATGTTGCACATCTCATACACAATAGTAACAGACATTCAAAAGATAGTAAAAAATATTGTTTTTAAATCACTTCAGAACGAACAAAAGAAAAAGAAGCGCGATCATCAGACATTTAACAGCATGTAAATCAAACGGCCTAATGCTCCCGAATGAAATGTCGACCCAGGAATTGGTTCAGGACTCTGAAGCGTTGGGGTGTTGATGGAGGCAATCTACTCCATCTACAGTATGTTCTGAATTGCATCTAGATATAGTTTTTGACAAAAACATGACAATCTCGTTTTTTTTTGTTCAAAACATTGCTTTTTTTATGAAACTTACCCACATCTAAGTGTTGATAAAAAAAGATGCATGAAGCTAGAATAAAACGGTTTAAATGCAGAGGCTAACCAGGTGGAGTCAGAGAACCAGATAGAGCCAGCTAAGCCAGGAGATGGATCTGGCGAAGACAAAGGAGTCAGGAGACCGTGCTGCATCAATGGGAACGGGGGTCCAGCAAATCCATTACAGTAACTAGGATGGCTGGGGGGATATGTTGGTACTCCGCTCCAGGATATCGATACTCCTTTCTGGGACATGGCTCTAACTCTGGGACAGACTTGTCTTTCTCATCTGGCTCAGGCTCCAGGATGAACTCGGCTGCAGGTACTAGCTTTTAAGGTCAAACTCTCTGCTGGTAGGAGGTCCTATGCAGGTGTGGGCTCTGGTTTTGCGTTCGTGATGGGTGTAGACTCAGGCTCAGGGTTTGAGGCAGACAATTGCTCAGGCTCAGTGTCTGTGGTGTGCAAGTGGCAATCATCATGCACTCCTTGTGAGCACTAGCTCAACAAAATCCTTAAACTTCCCTCGAGGACCATTAACAGACAGGGGATCATTAAGTCCAGTCCAACAATAATGATATGCTATGTTCCAGGAACTCACTGGTGTGGTCCTCGAGGGAGTGACTATCCCGAGTGAGGAGGTGGCAAACGGCTGGAAGTTGCATGCATCTTCTCTAGGTCCTCTGTTCTGTTATGGTAAGGCAGGCGAAGGAAGATGAGAAATCCATTTAACTTAATTTATAAACATCAACAAAGAAGGTAATCAAACATTTACTCTAACTAAGGCACAGGAGAGAAGTTACAGCTTTACAAGAATTAGAAATGACAATACAGGACAATGGACTGAACTACACATAGGGCTTAAATGCACACGGGATAATGAGAAGACAGGTCATCATAATTGGTAACCATAGGAACAAAAACACTAAAGCCTCGTTCAGACTGTCAGCCCAAATCTGAGTTTGTGCATATCCGGATTCGAATCCGATTTGAACAACTGACTGTCCACACAGTGTATCGCAAATGTTCATATCCGATTTGTGTGTCCATAAGCGGTCTTTCGTTTTACAGAATACGAGGCAGCATCAGAATCCCAGAAAGCTGGAATGTGCGGCTTTATTCAGTGCTGCTGTCTCCGCTACTTTCAAAACTCAAAGAGGTACGTATACTAGCAGTATACGGTCTTTTCCCGCTTGACTTGCACTTCACAACGACACAAGCTTCTGCAAAGACGTTCAGCCTGTTTTCTACAAAAAATGTCTGACGTGTTTACATTTTACGTGGCGTGAGGACGTGAAAAAGCTATGCTAAATCCGATCTGACCGGTCAGACTGAAACGGATTTCCAGAAATGCAATTTGAATAGGATTCCAAACCACATATGAATGTAGCTCGAAACGGATTTGCACAAATCGGACAATGCAGTTTTAACTAAACCTGAAAACTTTTTATGTGTTTGGCCAAAAAAAAGTGTTTCAAAGTGCAAGTTAAATCCTATACCGTTATTTAATAAAAGGTATTTAATGCAAGAAAAATGTGTAAGCCAAGTCAGTTTGATTTACAGAGCTTTTCGTGTATAATGGTAGTGTACACTGCTTCAAAGTTTTACAGAAAATACTGAAGAAATATCTACCATAGGTCACCACTGAGCAGTTCCATTTACAGCTTCATAAAAAATGTTATTCGTTATTATACCCACAGTGAGCAAGCCAAGAGCAAGTTCTTCATAAGGTGATAGTAGTAAAGAAAAATTGCCTGGTTTCTTCTAAGGTTAGGAGTAGTTCAAAGGGGTTTCTTTCTAAATTGAGGGCATGTTTAAAGGTGCAGTATTGTAATATTGACAATGTAATATTGGCCGTAGCATTGTTTTTCAGAGAAACAAGTATGTGAATTAGCATGTTTCCTAAATATCTGCAAACATATTGTGCGCTATTGTAATGCTTTAGTCAAAAAATGACATAGAGCACCTTTAAGGACTCTCTTCAAAGTGAGTTTCTACATGACTCTGAAGGATTGCTTGACGACTGAAACTCTTTTCACACAAAGGACACGCGTAAGGCTTCTCTCCAGAGCGACTCTCTACATCACTTGTGCATTTCTTCTCACTTAGGTGGCACGTGAAAAGCTCCTCATCAGCGTGAGTTCTCATGTGCCACGTAAGGCTTCCTTTATGTGTGAAACGCTTTCCACACTGTTGGCACGCGTAAGGCTTCTCTCCGGTGCGGATTCTTTTCTGACTCTCAACATCTGCATTTTTTGGTAATTTCTTCTCGGTTTGACGGCATTGGAAAAGCTCCTCATCAGCGTGAGTTCTCGTGTGCCACGTAAGGCTTCCTTTATGTGTGAAACGCTTTCCACACTGTTGGCACGCGTAAGGCTTCTCTCCGGTGTGGATTCTCAGGTGATCATTAAGGTGTCCTCTATGAATGAAATTCTTTTTGCAGTGATGGCATGTGAATGGCCTGTCTACAATGTGAATTCTTATATGATCGTTAAGGTGCGCTTTTTGAATTAAACTCTGCGCACTTGGATGGCATGCAAGGTTGATGGCAGTGTGAGATCTCAGGTGAACATTCAAGTTTCCTTTCTTACTGAATCTCTCTCCACACTGATGGCACGTGAACGGCCTTTCTCCGGTGTGAATTCTTAGGTGAATGTTAAAGGTTCCTTTCTGACTGAAGCTCTTTCCACACAGATGGCATGTGAACGGCTTCTCTCCGGTGTGAGTTCTCATGTGTTCATTCAGGTGTCCTCTTTGATTGAAACGCTTTCCACATTGATTGCATGAGTAAGGATTGTCGTTAGAGTGAGTTTTCATGTGACACTTAAACTTTTTGTTACATGTGAATCTTTTTCCACACTGGAGGCAAGTTAAAGGGTTCTCTTCGGTGTGAATTCTTCTGTGAATCTGAAGTTTCCTTTTATAGGCGAAACTCTTCCCGCACTCATTGCAATCGAAAAGTCCTTCAGTGTGGATTCTCATATGCCACTTCAGGCTTCCTTTATGCGTGAAACTCTTTCCACACTGATGGCACACGAACGGTTTCTCTCCGGTGTGAATCCTTAAGTGAACATGAAAGTATCCTTTATGACTGAAACTCCTTCCACAGTGAGGGCATGTGAATGGTTTCTCTCCAGTGTGAACCCTTAAGTGATCATTAAGGTGTCCTTTATGAAGGAAACTCTTTCCACACTGATGGCATTTGAAAGGATTCCCTTCAGGGTGCATTCTCATGTAGCGCTTAAGAGTTTCTTCAGTGTGAGTTCTCATGTGCCACGAGAGGCTTGCTTGATGTGTGAAACACTTTCCACAGTGAGTGCATGTGTAAGGCTTCTCTCCGGTGTGAATCCTTAAGTGATCGTTAAGATGCCCTCTATGAATAAACCTCTTTCCACACTGAGGACACACGAAGGGCTTCTCTCCAGTGTGACTCCTCGTGTGAATATTAAGGAGTCCTTTATGATTGAAGCTCTTTTCACATTGGTGGCATGGGAAAGGCCTCTCTCCAGAGTGAGTTTTTACATGATTCTGAAGAGCTAGTTTGCTAGTGAAACTCATTTCACACTCATAACACGAGAAAAGCTTCTCTCCAGCGTGGGTTTTCATGTGAACATTAAGTTGCCCTCTATTTGCGAAACTCTTTCCGCATTGATGGCATGTGAAAGGCCTCCTTCTGGTATGACTTTTAATGGGATCTTTAAGGCGTCCTGCTTGTGAAAGATTTTCAGACTGATAGTCAGTTAAAGGTTTTTCTTCAGCTATAACATTTTCAAGTGTCTGGAAATAGTGGTTGTCCTCAACTTCATACAGTTCTTGGCTTTCCTCTTTCACTTCCATCAGGCCTACAATTAATAACAATAAATTGACAAAAATCAGAAAGGGGGGACCAAAAAAAGTCAAAACGTCAAGCCCAAATAAAAATAGATAGTAAAAGACACCAAGTAACTGTGTGTGTGTTTTATGTTTAGCGTGCAATGTGTTCATTCAGTCATTATCATCACCATCAGTTCTTCAGTGCTGATGCTATGGTCATTTTAGATACATTTTCAAATTGTTTTTTTTTCTGTCAAATTAGTAACATGGACAGTAAATCAAATCACAATATTTAATAAACATGCCAAAAAAATGTATCTTTTAAAATGCATTCCTTTAATTAACTAAACTGTTTTATCAATTGATTTGATTATCACAGTTTTTAGTTCATTTATATTTGTAAGCCACTAGAGAAATGATACACTGTGAAAATGACAATGCGCATGCTAAAAATATCTTAATTTGTGTTGCGAAGATAAACGAAGGTGTTACGGGTTTGGAACGACATGAGGGTGAGTAACTAATGACTGAATTTTCATTTTTGGGTGAACTATCCCTTTAAATGCCTCAATCTGGTGGTGGAATTAAAATGTATCTGCGCCATTTTAAATCATTTTAAGTATATTCATTTCTACTGTGCCTTACAAGATGTCTTGCATACTGTGTATATTATCCTTTGTCTAATTCCTCTAAATAACAATAAAGTAACCAAACTTTTTAGTTGGGAGTATTGTGTGTACTGTGACTATTACAGTACAACTGCAGTGTAAAATAAATGTAATTAATTAATTGACTAATGTGTTTTGTAGTTCAGTTTATGAATGCAAGCATGACTTGTGTGTAAAATCTTTTTTAATTTAGGGCTCCAATCAAATCAGTTAGATTTTTTCACAAATTCTGTGTTTTCCACATTATTTTATTCTGGATTCTGTGTTTTATGACGATGCAAATTCAGCATCAAAAATGGTGTCTAATGGATTCATAAAACAAATGTAAAAAAATCAAGCAAAATGAAATTTAATTTTATATATTTTTGTCCAATAAGGTGCTGTACAACATAATTAGTATGCTGCATAAATTAAAATATGAATGAATAATCTCATATTGCTTAATAATAATAATTAATATTATTTTTACTTTTGTGAATCAATATATTTTTTCATATTATTATTAATTTAAGAAGGGTTGCCATGAAGACCTTTGAGTTTGTGTATTTGATTATTTTTTTTCTTTTCTGTTCTGACGGAAAATGTTTGGTTGTTATTATTATTATTATTTTAGATATAATAACCAACACTTAAATATAAACAATTTAGATTGTGCTAATTATGTCGCTCCAATTCATTGTTGAAATAGGCTATAAATATTTAAACTAGGGCTGTGCAGTATATCGAGTTTGTACAATATTGATACATTTTTTATAAGCCGTTTGGTATGAGGCAATGCTTATATTGATGCGAGCACATCTGAAAAATAGCGGAGGACACAGAGTGAGCTGCTGCGGGGCAAGTGCATAATCCAGTTTGTCCTAAACACGAGTCATGCTTATATTAAAGGCTTAAAAATCACTGGTAAGATATAGTTGTCATGTGTAGTTTGAAGCAGCTGCTCTGAAAGATACATGTGCTGCTGACAGATAGCCTTGCGCTGTTTAATGCGTTTGAGATGTGTCTGAAAGCAAACAGCTGAGAAAGAAAGCTCTTTCAGGAATATTAGACTGCTGTCACTTTAAGAGCTACCGGGTAGCTCTTAAAGTGATTTGTTGGACATTTACATATATACTGTGTTCCTAATAACTTTAAATACATGCATTTACTGTTTCCTTTCAAGTTACATCTGGTGCATTAAACAATCTTTGAATAGTATGCTCTTTGTCTGGCCTAAGACACATTATGAGAAATAATACGCACATTGTATTTAATTGTTTTGAAAACCAACCTATTTGTTCCTCAAGCTCTTCATCTTTGACTCTGCAGGGCTCTGGATCAGTCCAGTCTTCATGCTCCTCTTTAATAAACTCCATGACATGAAGATGTATCTTCTACTTTTCTCAAAGACTTCTGTAGAAAGCAATAGAGATCACAGTTAATAACACACGCGCACATTTACTATCGGCACACAAAGCATCACATTATCACGCTGAATACATTCATTTTACATTAACAGCCAACGCAAAATGAGTACCATGTGGAATGCATTACTTGAAAATAACTCCACAAAAATAGACGTTTTGCACACCTTAAACGCTGAATATCTCGAAACAAAAACCTTTGTCCAACAATGAGAACCATAAAGGGAGGAGTCCCGGCGCCTGCGTAATGACGTCAGAGCGTAGGCAAAATAAAAGACGTCCGTCTAAAGGAGCGTTCCCATTGACAGGCTCGGTCCCTACGCAGTGTGCACTGCTCCCTAAGCACGTGATATCCGCTGAAGTGGACAATAATCGCTCATTCGGAACGCCCTGCAACCTCACCAAACTGAACCAACGCCAGGGTCACGCAGATTATAATATAACGTTCATAAATATTGTAAATGACTACACTATCAAATATAAAATATTTATACTATAAATATACAAAACAAGCATTACCTGTTTTATAAATTATATTGTATATGTTTATTATGTGCTTATATATTTAATTGCCAATTGAAACTATTAATTGATTAGTAGCAGATCTGAAGCTCTATTGTAACGGTCATGCAATAAGAAAATTAACTTTTATTTGTTGAACTAAGTGTACATGTGTTTTTAATCCATGAATAGAGGTCTCATCTCCTGGCGCTTTCTTTACGCGCAACACTCCTGAGGTAACGTTAAAGTATAAAAATGCTTCTCGCAGCTTTTACTTTGTTATACCTATCATACTCCGTAATGAATCTGGAAGACGACAGCGAAGACGACAGCAAAGACGACGACGACTTAGTGGTTCTCAACAGTGTGTTTCATTCTGCAGGGTTCTGGATCTCTCATGTTCTCTCTGTCCTTCAATAAACTCTGTCTCTGCAGATTTCACTTCTTCCTGATGCTTTGATGCTCGAAAATTCCAGCATTTATTGCTGAACTGCAGTGGGAGGAGCTTCATTGAAGGTGTGATTGTTGTCTACTATTAAACTCTTTATGTTCACCTATCTATCCATCTTGTAAAGTAGATTTTTAGTCAATTAATCACAGCGTTTTATACTAATTCACAAGCTGTATCCCTTTTTATTTTCTAAGAATTTCATCCACGTATTTAAATTCGTACATTTATCTTTTTTTAATATACAGGGAAAGAAATATAGAAACAAATGTGGGGAAAAAAACAACACAATTAAAAGACACCAAATATAAACAAAGTAAAGATTAAAAAATGAAAGAATAAACATAGAAATATAATTTTACAAATTAGATACTTACCTCTATCTTGTAATGTCACAAAAGCTGATCGTGTTGTTTGCTTAAGTCTGTTAACACCAATATATATGGGAAGATTCCCTGATTAGCTCGGTGCATTGGCATAAAAAGTTAACTATGCGATGCATCGGTTTAAAACAGTGGTTCTCCACCTTTTTTTCCACTGGGCCGCACTATGGTCCAAGTGCAAGTCTCGCGGCCGCACGCATTTTACATATTATGTCACTAATACAAACCAACCAGATTTATAATAGCCTATTATAGCCAAAATATTATGATATCTAATCGATTACATTCCATTAAATAAATAAATAAATTATACTCACCATTAATAAAACACCTGATGCTGTCGGGAGCGGACCAATTTTGTGAAATTCGGCTCGAAAGGAGTAACACAGCACAATGAAGTTGCGACTGATACTCAATTTTACCAACTAATGGCTGCTGATGACTATTTTAATTGAAGCACGCGCTTGTAAGTGCTCGTTAAATGCGTAACGTTAATTACGTGAGTAGCAGGTCAGCTCATGTCTGAAAATAATATATGAAAAACTAAATTTTTAAATTAATGTAAAAACTCAAATGAATTGTAAAACTTAAAGTTAGTTTTTAAATTGTGTTCAGCGGGCCGCGGATTGAGAACCTCTGGGCTAGACAATGGCACTGTTAGGCTGCTGTTAGGTATCGGGATGAAATACTTGTACCCATTAGGGCCTTTCGCACCGCTTTATTTCCAGAACTAAACGTACGGTACTAAAGTACTGGGACGATTTTGCACAAACTATTTCCCAGTACCATTTAAAGGGTTGCATTCGCACCGACAGTGTGTACTAAGAAGTGACGTAAGCCGGTCGACAGCGTCGTCATTTGTGCGCGGCGTTCAACAACAGAAACAAAGAAGAACAACGTTAACAACAGGAGGACGGAGGACGCTGTGATCGGAGCTGTGTTTTTGTTGTGTCTCGCGGGTTTCACAATAATGGACATGGAAAGTCGACGTATACGTAAAGCGACTGAAAGAACGGAAAGGAGGACTAAGAATCTCCAACGACAGCCGGCAGTGCTACAATTGCTACAAGTGCACTTCAGCGTCTGTCCATCTATCGCTGTTCTCCATACTTGAGCTGCACTTCAGCGTCCGTCCATCTATCGCTGTTCTCCATACTTGCGAAATAAGTTGACATGCTTACAGTATGTTTACACGGCGTTTTAAATCATGGCGGGTGAGGGCGTTTTCATACGCGTTTGGCCAATCAATGTCTACTTGCGTCACGATTAGTACCAGTTGTGCTGGTTAGACCCTGCTCCGGAGTAGGAGCTAATTTGGTTCTCGAATAAAAGGCACTAAAATCTCACCCAGTTCCGGCGGTGCGAAAATGCCAAAAAGTGGGTAGTTCCACAATTAGTTCTGGTACTATGAAAAGGTTCCTATGCTGGTGCAGTGGGTCCAGGGTTCAATGCCCGGCCTCATGTGAGTGAAATTAGACAAACTTGGGGGGCGCATGTCCTAAAAGGTTGAAAACCCCTGTGCTAGACAATGGCACCCTGACTTGGACCCATTGTCAGACCCTACGGTGGAGAGTATGCAGGCAGTTCCTGGAGGATGAAGGAAGTGATACTACTGAATGACTCCCTCACTCACCTGACCTAACTCCAATAGAACACCTCTGGGACACCTCTTGTGTTTCGGTCCATCCAACAGTCCGCCAACGACTATCCAGGAGCTCAGTGATGCCCTGGTCCAGATCTGGGAGGATATATCCCAGGACACCATCCGTCGTCTCATTAGGAGCATGCCCCGAAGTTGTCAGGCATGCATACAAGCACATGGGGGCCATACAAACTACGGAGTACCATTTTGAGTTGCTGCAATGAAATTTCAGCAAAATGGACTAGCCTGCTGCATCATTTTTTCACTTTGATTTTTGTCTTTGAATTCAGCCCTCTGTAGGTTGACCAATTTCATTTCCATCAAACGATGTGGCTTCCTTTCGTTCCTAACACATTACCCAGTCCATACCAAGATGGATATCCAGCATGATATTTTCCCCCATTGAGATCTGATGTGTTTTCATAGTGTTCCTTTAATTTTTTTGGGCAGTGTATTTTGAAGAATGTTGGTAACTTAACTATTGAAGGCAATGGCATTGGCTACTGCCATTAAACTATTCCTTTAATAACAATAAAAAACAAAATGCTTTGACACTTTTCTGTGTAACAAATTACTAGAGAAAAATAAATGCCAAATATCGGTGGAATCCAGCGGCTCGAGGAGAGCAATCTAATCATTTGGACCAAGCAGTCGAAAATGTGAATGCATAATTTACTAAACGTGTAATTGAAAACTAATTGTGTCATGCACACAACTCCTGCATACGTATTTTTCTCTTAAAACAAACCGATAGTTTTCTACTGTGTATGCATTAACTACAGTACAAAAACCCTGTTAATCTGTTAATATCATTTTAACCTGTTGGCAGCCCAGCAACAAAAAGAGTTTAAACACAAAGAGAAAAAGATGTATCCGTCACCCGTTTTATTCATGTTTCACTTATATACCAAACACAATGTACATTGTTTCAGTGCAGCTTTACAGAAAGCATTCCATAAACCTTCGTTAAAAAATGTGCCTTTATATATTTGTCTTACTAGCAAGCCAAACCAGACAGGTTATGCATTCACGTGCAATTCAAAGGGTTTATTTATGCTTAATTTGAGTTATTTTAAGTGTGTTTTTGGCTCAAGGCTATGTGAGTTCTTATATGATTCATAAAGTGTCCTTTATGTTTGAAACCCTTTTCACATTGAGGGCATTTTAGGCCGCTCGCCTGACGCTTCAGGCATCTATCATCTTCAGTGTGATACTTTTTAATGTGCAACTTTAGGCTTCCTTTATGTGTGAAACTCTGTCCACAGGGAGTGCATGCGAAAGGCTTTTCTCCAGTGTGAACTCTCGAGTGTTCATTAAGGTGTCCTTTATTAATGAAGCTCTTTCCACACTGATCACACGCATACGGCTTCTCTCCAGAGTGGATTCTCAGGTGAACATTAAAGTATCCTTTGAGTCTGTAACTCTTTCCACACAGATGACATGTGAATGGTTTTTCGCCAGTGTGAACTCGTATGTGATCATTAAGGTGTCCTTTATGAACGAAACTCTTTCCACACTGAGGGCATGTAAACGGATTCTTTTTAGTGTGGATTTTCATGTGACACTTGAGTTCATCTTGCTGTGAGAAACCTTTTCCACACTGACAGCAAGTTAAAGGGCTTTCTTTAGAGTGAGTTCTCATGTGCCATGTCAGGCTTGCTTTATGTGTGAAACACTTTCCACAGTGAGTGCATGCGAAAGGCTTCTCTCCGGTGTGAATCCTTAAGTGTTCGTTAAGATGTCCTCGATGAATAAACCTCTTTCCACACTGATCACATGCAAACGGCTTCTCTCCAGTGTGACTCCTCCTGTGAATATTAAGGTGTCCTTTATGGCTGAAACTCTTTCCGCAATGATCGCATGTTAAAGGCTTCTTTCTGGCACGATTTCTAACGTGTCGTTTTTGAGAGAGCTTAGCAGGCCGAGAGTTTGGTTCAGTTTCAAGTGTCTGAAAATAGCGGTCGTCTTCAACTTTATTCAGGACTTGACTCTCCTCTTTCACTTCCGTCAGGCCTGCAATTAACATTCAATTATTAAAAACTGTTGGTGAAGCAAGAAAGTGGTACTCAATCAAAGCGCTCATGTACCTCCTAGGCACCAAGTATATTTAAGCATCGTCTTAAAGGTACAGTTCACCCAAAAAAATTACAATTCTGTTATCATTTACTCACCCTCATGTTATTCCAAAACTGTAGGAGTTTCCTTCTTCAGTTGAGCACAGAAGAAAGTACTTTGAAGACCAAACAGTTGATGGTAGCCATTGACTTCCATAGTATGGAAAAAATAATAATACTATGGAAGTCAAAGGCGACCGCCAGCTGGTGGGTTGCCAGAATTTTCATTTTTGGGTGAACTGTCCCTTTAAGGACGTTTAGCGACATACATCACATTTGGATTAAATGGTCAGTAGAGCTGGATGAGTCATATAATCTCACAATATATATTATGATCATTTTTGCTTGAAATAGCTAAGGTTATTAAAATATAACAAATTTAAATACCGCTAGTGTTGTCACAATACCAAAACTTTACCTGACTAAAATATCCTAATACTACAGCTGAACCGATACCACAACCAAAACATAATAGATGATCGACATAGCGCTTGTAGTTTTTTATCAATTAATAAAGAAAAAAGAATCTTTCACTTGACCAGTGTGTGCCTGCCCTGCTTTCTGTTTCTGAAACATGTTTAAATCATTTAAACAGCCATTCAGATTTGTGCATTCGCTATGGTGTTCATCACAGCGCCAAATACTTACATATTTAGACTTAATAGGCTATTTACTTTCAAACTTTGTTACATTTTAATCCAGACTAGTCCACAACATGCCCTAGATATTGTTTGAAAGTGTTTTGATTCGTTATTGTTCGGTCACGCTTTACATTAGGGCTTCATTAGTTAACATTCGTTAATTCATTAGTTAACAAACCGCCAATAGAAATTATTCTGAACATTCATTAATCTCATGTAATTCCAATATTTAATAACACGTTGTTAAAATCATAAGTTGCAGCTGTGTTATTTAACGAGCTAACATGAACGGAGACTTGTATTTTTAACAAAGATGAATAACTTCTGTAGCAGATGTAGCTATTGCTCATTATGAATATTAATGCATTAACTAAGGTTAGATGTTATTGTAAAGTGATACTTATTGGTCTTTATAATTCTTTTTGCGCTTTAATCTGTGTAAAATGTTTAGCTTTATACATTTTGTGTATTGCTTTATTGTATTTAAATGTTCAAAAAGTTATTAAGCCTGTTAAGTGTTTAAAAACACTTTTTTGCAACTAAATTGCAACATCGTGATAATACCGTATACCGTGATAAAAGCATGAGCAATTATTCGCAACATGAAAATTTGATACCGGTATATCCCTAACCCTAATACAGGAAAGCAGATGTGACCAGAATATGAACGCAATGTGCTAAATATCATTTTAAATGTTTTGAAACTGAAAATAATGCATTAAGACAGTGATAATGGAGGACTGCTGTTTTAAAACATTTAGCCATGTTGAATGTACACCCCGTACTGTAAGCACGAGTCTACAGATGTACAAAGATGTATTAGAGCCGTAACTAGATACTCTAAATGAAAAGTGGAAGCGTTTTGTATGCACTCTCCTCTTCGACGGGTGCTATTTATTTGAATTTGAGAAACACTGTAATAAGTCGTCAAAGCTTTGTTGCTGTTTTTCCTCTAATCTGATGCAACGCATGTCGCTTATTTGGATAAAAGCGTCTCTAAATTGCATACACAGGTGGAAAAAACACTTTATTTCAGTACACTTAGTGCGCTTCCATAACTCCTTTTGTACGTACTTAATATACTAAAAATGATTCTTTAGTACTTCTATAGATAAGCTTAAGAATATCTAAGTGTACTCAGCTGTGCTATACATGATAAATACTTTTTTTTTTTTAGATAAACTGTTTTATTTCATATGCATGGTGTCCCAAAACAGCACAGTTGAGCACACTTAGATGCTCTTAAGATGTAATAAAGAATAATTTTTAGTATATTAAGTACAAGATTAGTGCATGAAAATAGAGCGCTTTAAGTGCATTATGGAAGATAATGTGTATTTTACTACACTTTCTTCACCTAGGTACCGGGTTTACTTGCGTAACACATTTCTACAGGATGTTTCATGATCCATAGTGACAGTATATATAAAATTCCACTAAAATTATGTAAAGTAATCGCAACTCGCTTTTAAGCAATGCAATTATAAAACACTTCTAAATGGCATGTTTAGCTAGTATTTTGACTTGCCTTATATTTGTTTGAAGAGCCATTAGGTTATTTAACCCCTCTTAGATTAAAGCACCATTTTGGGTGAAATTCTACTTTACCTGAATCTCACACTATTTACTCATTACCGAAGACAAACTTTGCATTGCTCTACTCTGGATAATGTGAAGCAGTAGATAAATCGATGTGCTTAAAATCAATTTTTCAAACTGTTTGTCCAATGTAGGGTCACACAGTCGGGTCGAGCTACACTGAAAATCCTTGGCTTGGCTTCTCTCCAGTATGCATTCTTGTGGTTTTAGGGTTCTTGAACTAATGAACCCTTTCCAGGGGTTTCTCCAGCGTGGGTCCGCTGGTGCCGTTTCAAGTATGTCGCTCTAGTAAAAGCCTTACCGCACTCAGGACACACATGCGATTTCTCACTGGCGTGTATTTTCTGGTGCGATTTTAAGCTGCCGAGCAGTTTGAAACTCTCTCCGCACAAAGAGCATAAGTAGGGTCTCTCATGCGTATGAAGCTTCAGGTGTGCTTTTAATCGCGCCGCCAGAATAAACTTTTTCCCGCACTGATCGCAACTAAACGGCCGTTCTTCAGAGTGAATGAGCAAATGCGTTTTGAAAGTGTTGCTCTCTGCAAACCTCTTGCCGCACTCAGAGCACTCATGCAATTTCTCTCCTGAATGATATTTCATGTGCATGTTTAGGCTTCTCTGAACTGTGAAGCTCTTGCCGCACTCGTGGCACGAGTAAGGCTTCTCTCCGGTGTGAGTTCTTATGTGTGTCTTGAGGTGTCCTTTACATTTGAAGCTCTTTCCGCACTGAGGACACGTGTAGGGCTTTTCTCCGGTGTGGATTCTCATGTGATCTTTAAGCTGTCCTTTATGTGTGAAGCTCTTTTCGCACTGAGGACACTTGGAGGGTTTCTCTCCGGTGTGAATTCTGATGTGAATTTTAAGGTTTCCTTTATGCGTGAAACTCTTTCCGCATTGAGGGCATGTGAACGGCTTCTCTCCGGTGTGACTTCGCATGTGACGCTTGATGTACCCTTTATCTGTGAATCTCTTTCCGCACTGGTTGCACGTGTAAGGCTTCTCTCCGGAGTGAGTTTTTATGTGATTCTGAAGGATTACTTTCCGAGCGAAGCTCTTTCCGCACTTATGACAAGTGAACGGCTTCTCTCCGGTGTGGACTCTCATGTGACACTTAAGGTTTTCTTTGTGCGTGAAACACTTTCCACACTGAAGGCAAGTCAAAGGGCTCTCTTCCGTGTGAATCCTTGCATGAATCTTAAGGTTTCCTTTATTTGTGAAGCTCTTTCCGCACTGAAGGCACGTGAATGGCTTTTCTCCCGTGTGAATTCGCATGTGACACCTGAGGCTTCCTTTACACGTTAAACCCTTTCCACACAGGTGGCACGTGAAAGGCTTGCCTCCGGTGTGAATTCGTATGTGATTTTTAAGGTATTCTTGCTGTGTGAAATTCTTCCCGCACTGATTGCATGTGAAAGGCCCTTCTTCGATGTGAATTCTCATGTGACACTTAAGGCTTCCTTTATGTGAGAAGCTCTTTTCACACTGAGGGCAAGTGAACGGCTTCTCTCCCGTGTGAATCCGCACATGACACGTAAGACTCCCTTTACACGTAAAACTCCTTCCACACAGGTGGCACGTGAACGGTTTCTCTCCCGTGTGAATTCTCATGTGACCATTAAGGCTTCCTTTACACGTGAAGCTCTTTCCACACAGATGGCACGCGTAAGGCTTCTCTCCCGTGTGAATCCTCATGTGATCGTTAAGGTGTCCTTTGTGAATGAAACTTTTTCCACACAGACGACATGCGTAAGGCTTCTCTCCGATGTGAATTTTTATGTGATCCCTAAGGTTTCCTTTATGTGTGAAGGTCTTTTCACACTGAGGGCAGGAGAACGAATTTGTGGCTTCTGTTGTTTCAGTTAAAGACTCTTCTCCAACTTTAAAATCTTCAGGCATTTCAATAAAGTGGTTCTCCTTGATGTCACTCGGTTCTTCTCTTTCCTCTTTCACCTCCATGTGGTCTAAAATTAAAATATATTAAATAGTCAAAAATAAATCAGTTCAAGAAAAGTGAAACTAGAAACACTAAAGTATAAATTTCAATTTAAGTGATGCTTAAAGGTAATTCTGACTAGAGGTCGATCGATATCAGTTTTGCCGATTAATCGGCACCGATAGTTGATTGCTGAAACTATCGGCAAAAATCCATGCCGATAGTTTTTCGGGTTGTTAATCACAAACTAAATATGGCTGTGAAAATACCCCCAAAAGATCATTTAAAGCTATTATCGTGTTAAATGTTTAGGCTACAATGGCCTAACAAAGTATGGAACATAAAAGAAGATAATTTGAGAAACATCTCAGTATTCTCAGTAAGTCACTAGTGACCAAAAACAGCTTAGTTACCAACAGTCTTCAAAATACCTTCTATGTTGTACAAAAGAAAGTAAATTATTCAGGTTTGAAACAACATGAGGGTGAGTAGCGTTACTGATGATTTTTTTATTTTTTGTGAACTATCCCTTTAATGTTTATTTATTTATTTAAATAGATACTCTAAAGAAGACACTAAAACAGCCAGCAGGTGGCGGTAAAAGTCTTTATGAGTCGACTCGTTCAAGCGGCTGATTCATTCAGGAATTCAGTAAACGGCTCTAATAGGGCTTTGAATCACTGATTCACACGATTCGTTCAAAACGCGGATTCATTCAGAAACTAAATATCGCTGTGTTGCTCGTTGGCAAAATTTACAAAAACAATATTTTGTTTCAAATATAGCACAATATTAACTTACTTAACTGTTGTATAAAATCCAGTGCGTTAACGGCGTTAAAATATTTTAATCGCGTTATTTTTTTCATAACTAATTAATTAATTTAACACGTTAAACTGACAGCCCTACTTTAAATATAAGTATTGGGTTTCGACTTACTTGAACATTGTAATGACATGAAAAAATACACAATATAAAGCGGTTAATGTTGACATATCTTACCAAAATGTGATTTATTCTATTATTGATTATCATGTACATAAATGGACCATGGTGAACATATTTAAACAGGTTTTCAACACTGTTTAGTTTTATGCAGCAGAATATAAAAAGTCCACTTACAAACTTACTGCTGCTCGTCAACGGAAGCTGTCACAGTTGCTAGGCAACAAGAACAGTCAGCCTTCGATATCGGATGCAGTTGTAATTAGCAACTATTTGTTAATATTCTAGCAATAAACTTTGTTCCTTTCATCTGCGAAATAACAAAGTGGTGGAGTGTAACGAAATGCATTCCTTGTATTCACGTACAAATGAGAAGTACCAAGTTTTTTTGTTGTTGTTTTTCCTCACGGGACAGCAACACTACACTACACTACTGTCTTTTTCAATATGATGCACTGTTGTACATTGAACTGCCCAACAGTAGCCTATATAAAGTATTTCAAATGTAACAACCTTGAACATATTCACTAGTAAAATTCAACATACAGTAGTGCAGCAGTAATATTAAAGCAAGACCATCATATATAAAGTTTTTTCTGCAGAATACACACCTTTAATTTACATTTAATCATTTAGCAGACGCTTTTATCCAAAGTCACTTACAGATGAGGACAATGGAAGCAATCAACATCAACAAAAGAGCAATGATATGCAAGTGCTAGAACAAGCCTCAGTTAGCTTAATGTAGTACACATAACAAGTTTTTTTTTATTATATAATAAATAAAAATAAAACAGATAGAATAGAAAAAGAATATAGCAAGCTACTGTTAAAAGGCCTTTTTTGCTTTTGTTAATTGTATTATTGATTATCATGTACATAAATGGACCATGGTGAACATATTTAAACAGGTTTTCAACACTGTTTAGTTTTATGCAGCAGAATATAAAAAGTCCACTTACAAACTTACTGCTGCTCGTCAACGGAAGCTGTCACAGTTGCTAGGCAACAAGAACAGTCAGCCTTCGATATCGGATGCAGTTGTAATTAGCAACTATTTGTTAATATTCTAGCAATAAACTTTGTTCCTTTCATCTGCGAAATAACAAAGTGGTGGAGTGTAACGAAATGCATTCCTTGTATTCACGTACAAATGAGAAGTACCAAGTTTTTTTGTTGTTGTTTTTCCTCACGGGACAGCAACACTACACTACACTACTGTCTTTTTCAATATGATGCACTGTTGTACATTGAACTGCCCAACAGTAGCCTATATAAAGTATTTCAAATGTAACAACCTTGAACATATTCACTAGTAAAATTCAACATACAGTAGTGCAGCAGTAATATTAAAGCAAGACCATCATATATAAAGTTTTTTCTGCAGAATACACACCTTTAATTTACATTTAATCATTTAGCAGACGCTTTTATCCAAAGTCACTTACAGATGAGGACAATGGAAGCAATCAACATCAACAAAAGAGCAATGATATGCAAGTGCTAGAACAAGCCTCAGTTAGCTTAATGTAGTACACATAACAAGTTTTTTTTTATTATATAATAAATAAAAATAAAACAGATAGAATAGAAAAAGAATATAGCAAGCTACTGTTAAAAGGCCTTTTTTGCTTTTGTTAATTGTATAATAAATAAAAAGAAAACAAATAGATAGAATACAAAAGGATTAGAAAAGCTAGTGTTAGTTTTTTTTTAAGAAAACAAGCAGCAAATGAATAGTGCAAGTCTAAAAAGGACATTTTTTTTAAAGAATAGAATTAGAATAGAGAGTACTAGAGTTAGAGGGTCAAATAAAGATTGAAGAGATGTGTTTTTAGCTGTTTCTTGAAGATGGTTCAGGACTCAGCTGCTGGGATTGAGTTGGGCAGGTCACTCCACCAGGAGGGAACAGTTAATGTGAAAGTCTGTGAAAGTGATTTTGTGCCTCTTTGGGATGAACAATAAAGCGACGTTCACTTGCATAAATTTACTCTTACAGTATGAAAGATAATACTTTTAATGAAGGTTTTATTTTCACTTACAAATTATAACTTGCTTTGCTAAAATAAACAATTTCCAGAACTACTTCTTGCCTTTTATTTACAAGTTTCAACTTTTAATACAAAAATAAAACAATGCACAGAAATTACTTTGCTTCATTTACAAATAACTTAAAATTACAAAAGTAATGTACAGAACAACTTCATTCATTACATTTTTAAGTTTCCCAGCAGACCCATTTTCTCCAGAACTGTCCTAAAAGAAGAGAAAATAAAAGACTTATGAAAATGATTAAGACAGGGCTGCAATCTTAAGGTTAGAAAATGACATATTTCTGGATCATCAAGTTTGCCTAAAACATCTGTGGACATGTCTAGCATGACAGCAGAACAATAAGGCCCAATCCCATTTCTACCCCTTAGCCCTTCCCATTTCTCGGGGGGTGAACATTTTTGAATGTGAAGATCAGGGTAAATTGTTCTTAATTTGTCTTGCGGGAAACATGCAAGTATCGTCTGTTGCTTCCGAAGGGCAGTACTAAACGGGAAAAAAAACTATATTTCAACAAAATAAGAAAAATGTGGACTTCTTCATTCTGTTCAAAAGTTTTCACCCCCCTAGATTTTTGGAGAGGTGCACGTCAGGCTACGGCGTAGGTCCGACGCAGAAGTATAAATAAGCCTTTAGATGACGTATGATGACGTGTAACGGTATAGCAGTGGTGTCCCATTTCTTAGGGAAATATTTTCACCCCTACCCCCTGACACTGTGTTTCATTTTATTAATATATATATATATATATATATAAATAAAAATACAACTGAAAGACTTATCTAATTATTAAGTAGCCTTATCTACTTGTCTTATTGTTGTGGACTGGCAGAGTTTTTATCCCCAGTAAAGGAGTTATCATATTCAGCCCTCAATTTAATAAATACAAGAACTTATGTCTCAGACCACCTAACAAATGAATCTGTGCGGTGGTATTGTTAGTTTAACTTCACATTTTTTAAAGGAACACTCCACTATTTTTGAAAATAGGCTAATTTTCCGACTCCCCTAACACTCCACTATTTTTGAAAATTGGCTCATTTTCCGTCTCCCCTAGAGTTAAACGGTTGAGTTTATACTGTTTTCGAATCCGTTCAGCCGATCTCCGGGTCTGGCGGTAGCACTTTTAGCTGTAGCTTAGCATAGATCATTGAATCTGATTAGACCGTTAGCATCTCGCTCAAAAACGACCAAAGAGTTTCTATATTTTTCCCATTTAAAACTTGACTCTTCTGTAGTTACATCGTGTACTAAAAAAAATGTGGTCATTTTTGAGCGAGATGCTAACGGTCTAATCAGATTCAATGATCTATGCTAAGCTACAGCTAAAAGTGCTACCGCCAGACCCAGAGATCGGCTGAACGGATTCGAAAACAGTATAAACTCAACCGTTTAACTCTAGGGGAGTCGGAAAATGAGCCAATTTTCAAAAATAGTGGAGTGTTCCTTT